TCTTGATTACAAGACGAAGGGGGGTAGGGTGGGGGGGGGATAAAACCTTGAATGAAAGCCTGCGCTGAAAGTTTTCAGTTTGCTGATATAACAGTCAAGTGTGTCTATAAGTCTACTTAAAACGCTTAGGTATCAGCGGAGACAGCTGCGACACCCTCGTCTTATGATTCTGTCGAGACAGTACACTATCAAACCTTTCATAACGTTCCCAAGCTACATTTCCAGTGACAAAAGCTTTGCAAAAGCCTCCTGAAGGATTCATCTATATCCTAATATTTCCAATCCAATTTAACTGGAGCAGCCTGAGTGGTCTGAGCACTAGTTTACCAATCTTTGCTTTCCAAGACTCTGTGTGCTGAAGGCTTGAGGGGTTCAATCAATGGCGCTTTGATCTCGGCTGGAACCATAATTATTTAACATTGTTACAAGGATTTCTCTAATCCATCCTACCATTAAATCCCTTTTACACCCTCATCTTCTGCAGCCTAATCTGCATCTGGGTGCTCCGTTTGTCTCTCCCTCATTTCGGCTCACCCCTCCTTCCTTGACGACACCCTGACTTAATAATGAACTTGAGTCTTGAGTTAGAACATTTTTCTTGTTTACCAAGTTTACGCTGACAGTTGAACTGTTCTTACATGGGCTGTTGCTTAGCAAAAACACCAAAGTTGGGTGCTTGCTTTCCATTATTTGAGTTACTTTCCTTCAGTTGGTGGAAAAATTCTGAACAGTTCTAGAATCAACTAAAATGTCGGAACAAAGATTGATATTGATATTCTACCATCACTGGACTTTTGAAGTTTCTTACAAGCGAATGCTTAAGTTTAGGTGACTATTGCCCAAAAGGTTCAATCCCATCTGGTTATTAAGGTGGTCACTTTGACTCGCAGCATAAAGGGCCCACCGTCCTTTTTCGCAAATATTTGCATGTCTGTGTTTCAGCACGATAAAAATAGCAGCATGGGAGACCACAAACATTTGCTGAGGCACCTGCCACGATATCGTGGCCATCTGGTCCTCCAGTTCTCCTAGCATGACATATGTGCATTAAACCTGAAATGGTCATTGTTGGAGAATAGAATAAGACAAATTGGCCGCGGACCCTTCTGGGTTGGCTGGAGTCAAAAATGAGACTGGAGACTTTTTACATCTGAGCGGAGCTGCGTTATCAGCCATCAGCATGTTTGATGTCTTAAAAGGGAAGAAAAGGTTGATGAGTGGGTATTTTTGCATGCACGTGTGTGTGTGTGGAGGAGGGGGGGTTGAAAAGGTGGCTCTGCTGGGGGTGGGGCGGGAGGTTGTGTGTCTCTTTGTAGTGCTCCATCTGATTGTCAGGTAAACTGGGATGGCCACTCCCCCGACTGACCCCCGCCTCACCCTGGCGGGGGTCCAGCTGGCGTACGGACTTGAGCAGGTTGAGCTAGGCGGGCCGTCGGGGGACAGCCACCAAAAGACAAGATTTGTGAACAAGGTGATCTTCTGTAGCTACTTTGTCCCACATTTGCTCCATCTGCACCTCTTTTTCTTGCGTGCCTCTCCTGGGCTACCCGGTGTTCGAACCACCTCTGATATCCGATGTGTCGGAAAGCCAATGCTGCAATCTTGCAGATTTCCTGAAAAAAAAAGCTGGTCCAACTAAAAGCTGCAGTGCCTAAGATATCCTGGCTTTTAAAGTTAGGTCAAGTCCCCAAAGCTTAGGCATCCAAACCAGTGGCATCATTTACTACAGTCTATGCAGCTGGAGAATGCCCATGCCTTTCAAACTCCATGCCCTGAGTTTGTAACACAGGCTTTTTGATTAAAATGTGTCTCCAATAGCCCTGACAACATCAAAAGGGTTACTTTTCCAGGCCTTTAAGGGGCTGTTTTCTCTAAACCGTATAGTGCTCAATGTGACAAACTGTTGTGGGCAGCTCAATCCTCGGACTAAAAGGTTACCATTGAATATTTTTGCAAACGGCAGGTAGATATGATCTCAGTTTTTTTCTGAACCTCGAATACATGCCCAAACTGTCCTTTGCTCTCTGTTTCATAATTCAGCAGCCACGGCCATGGGAGCAAGAAAAACACTTTTCAACATAGTCTCAAAACAATCAACAACTATTTCTTGTTAATTTTCTAAGTAGAATTTGTCATTCAACTAACTTGGTTTAGACGACAAAAACAGTTTACAAACTTAGTTTACCAATCTTACTTTGAGTTAGGAAATGATCCTAGTGTAGACCAGATCACCTCTATACCAGCTCCATTTCGCCTCTAAAAGTGCCAGCTTTTGATTCTTTATTGATGTGTACATCTGCTGTATTGTTCTGCTGTATCGGTTTTGATTAGGAAGTGTTTAGAGGCTAAAAAAAAAGATTGGTGAGATGAAATTGATGTTGAAAATTCGCGAAATGTCCCTTAATCAAATCCCTACTTCAAAGGTGAATGTCTGCTTTAAAGGTACTGATAAATTCATTACAAGTCTAAAACATGGACTAAAACAGTTCTTAACTAGTGTAGAATTAGCCAAATGCTGCATACAACAAATGAGCCACATCTTATAATTAAAGGGTGGGTAGACTCTGAAAAAGTCTGTATTAGAGCTGTTACTACGATTATGCCGATTGTCAGTTTTAGTTCATATTTGCAACAGTTATTCAATAAATGCATGAATTAATGTATATAGAACACAGAGCTGTTTAAAAGACTGCACGCGCACTCTCAAATTGGCAGTGGTCACGATTCCGAGAGTCTTGACGAACCTTGGATTTCCATGATTTTCACAGTGGGTGTGGTTTACATGAGTAAGCACAAAGATAAGACTGAGAACAAGTTCATTAGTGCTGTTAGCTAACTAACACACGCCATTCCCAATTAGCCCAGAGGAGAGTGAATGGGAAAAAATGAGGCAGACTGAGTCAGATTCCTATCGCCGCCAGTCTCTGAAAGTGAATAGAATAGCACGACACACAATCTCTCAAATCAGCAGCCGATTGTGAAACACCCGTGACGACAAATGAACACGAGACAGAAGATCAGTCTGCAGATTTGCTTAAGGATATACCAGCAGAGACGAGGGGAGAGAAAGGGAACTTGCTGGGTGTTCCAGATCAGAGACTCGGCACTCGGAACAACAGAGAAGAGTCAGCTATCAGATTAATGGTGACTCATTCAGGACGGTTCTCTGCTGCTCCGCGCAGAAAGACAATCAAAGAACGCGAGGCAATCGTGGACATCACTTGACACGAGTGACTAAAGTGGAGATGAAATGCGGGGACAAAAAAAAAAAAGTTCAATTGCAAGACGTGGATTGTAAAGGCTTTTGTTGTTACGCAGCAAAAGGGAAACGCTATGGAGGTGCTTCAATAGACTCACCAAAGCAGGTGGGCATGTTCCGAGTCAGCCCACCTCATTAAATGGCTTCACTCTCTTTTTGTAACGGCCATTACACAACCCATTCAGATGCACACATGCAGTGATTAAAAATTATCTGTTGGTGATCATAATCACAGCTGCTTAAACTTAAGCCAAAGAATAAAAAGAATAACAAAGAACTTTTGAATGCCGACCTATCTGGACATTTACAAAGAGATTAAAGGCTAGACAGTCTCCAACTAAATAAATTTGCTTTTAATCGCTTTGAACAGGAAGTCATGTCATTTCAAATATGTGTATCTGATTGTCTGATTCCCTCCTTTATTCAAATTATAACATGGCCATCTGACTTTTGCAGCACAATGGGAAAAATTAAAAAGGGAAATGACCTTTCATGGCAGCCATGATGAGAGAGTGAATGGCATTATTCTGTGCCAAGATTAATTTTATGCCCACTCCATGCTGCCCATTGAGGAGACACAGTAGGAGCATGAATGCGTCACTGTAAATCACTCTCAAAATGGTTGCTGTATCATACAGGTGTCAAAAAAGCAAAGTGGGAATAACACGTTTGCGGTGGACTGATCATTGGGATGCTAACCAATATACTACCGATACAAAACGTGTATGGGTAGCATTACCCATTAATGCAGTTTGAGATTGAACAGTAAGGGGCGTATAACCACAGAGCTCTGATTGACATTCATTAATGCTGTGGTTAAAAAGAACAAAAACAGACATTAAATACGTGTCAAATCTCAAATCAACTAGCAGCTGGGATACCTTCACCATATGTTTCATTATAACTTCCGTTTTCTGCCCGTCCAGCAATGTATTTTGGAGCCCCTAATTTTCATTTTAATAGTTAAGTGGAAGAGGCAGGCATAATTACAGTCAGTCATACATCTAGTCATAGTACATCCATCCCTGCTTTTCAGAGCAGTATCTTTAAGCTCAGCATATTCTCGCCCAAAAGGGCTTTTTTTCTGCCTGTGATGCCTTCTTTTTGTCATGGCCCCCATAGTTCTGAGCTGACCCCCTCAGCCCTGTCTCCTGACTGATCACAGTGATGGTTTATTACTGTCGTCCTGGCGCTCTTATCTTTAGCCAGCAATGCTCATTTCCTTCCTCAGATTTAAATGCAAATGTGAAATTTAATGATAAATGCATTATCTGATAGGTGCGATAACACTGATTCACTGTCAGTATAAAATACACACCCCGGGGGGCTTTGAGCTAGCGAGCACAACTTGCCAAAATCCACTTTTTTCTCCTGTTCTCTCTTTCCTTTTTACCCTTTTTTTACAGACTCATGTACCTGCAATAAATTCTCGAGGTCATTTTATGCATTAAAAGGACTAATATTTTGTGAGTTCAGCAGTGTGTGCAGGCTATTGCTGAGCAGTTATTGCTTTGCAACTGTTTTTTATTAGCCATCTCTTCGAGGAAGTTACTGTTGAAAACATTTTCAGAAAATATTAATCGACATTGCGTCATGTGATTGTTAAAAAAACGCCCATTTTGAATGCATCGACTTATATTTCAGTCTTCAGCTAAACATGAATGCTTTTTCCTTAAATCTAAAACATGTATTGTATTTGGTACTGCAACCAAATTAAGCAAAAGTCTATTTCCAAAGGTTCTTATAGTCTCTTACTTGGACCGTCCCACTCTTCTGGGCCCACGGCAGCATGCCTGCTCTTCTCGCCTTGACCTTCCATCTCGGCATCTCCAGCTTCCCGGTTGCCGTCTTCCTCTCCTGAAAGGTAGTAAAGGCAAAGTGAGTGGCACTTCAAATTTAATGTTCGGACACCTAATTCAATTAAGTGCCGCATTATAGACTTTGCCGTCCTTCGAAAGTATAGATTCTAATGGATATTGGATAGTTTCCCAGGACGAGTCATTGAGTTTTATAACTCTTTCCTGTAATATTTGAGCCATTGTGTTGTTGTGTACGTCTAGCTTTTGTATGGTCGCGTTTGTACTGAGCTCACAGGCCCAGCTGCACACTTTTGTGCAAATGGAGTTCCCATGAGGACTTGCAGGGGCAGGAAGAAGCCCCATGGAACAGGAAGGAAAGCAATGTGTGGGAGAGAGGTGGCTATTTATTACTGTTTGATCTATTGTGGAGCAAACTAGAATGTGTGTTATAGGATGTTGGGCTGATTTACAGTCTCGGGGCTCACACGGACCACGCTATGGGATATTTGGGTATCTCTTACCAGGATGTAAGCGCTTAAAGACGTGGTTAAGCACACTTTGCCTCAGCGGGGACAGTGACGGGAGAGCCGGTTGAGCTCACTTTGATGCACTTACTGTAAACCAGAAATCTATTTTTGCATGTCTACAGTAAGCACAGTTTACACACGAGTTTATAGGCACATAAATCAGTGCTTAGTAGGTGCCCCTAGTGTGGTGCTCTAAATAAATCCAACGTGGCTGACACAGTGGCTGCACAGCGAGCCTCCAAAAAAAAATCAGGCAAGTGAGAGCAAACCACAGCTCGGGGCAAGTACTGGCGGTTGATGGTTTGTAGAGGAACATTTCTCTCACTTTTGTCATCACATCTTTTCCATCCCTTTGATGTTTAAAACCCAATAGTGAACGGTCAAGGACAGGCCAGGATTACCTCGATGGATTATTACACTTCATACAGTCTACAAGGGTGAAAAAGGGAAGGATATGGAGATTTACATGTGAATATCTATTATGAGAGCAAAGACAATATATTGTTGGGATCTGGCTCAAACAGATCGTGATAGAACAATACCTATCAACGCAGATAATGTTGTTATTCTTTGATTGCTTACCATATCTGTATCTCATTTTGACCCCAACAGATTCCGTAAATAAAAAGAAAAAAGAAAAAAACATTTCGGTTTCCTAGTTATCGCACTTTCTTAGACAACTGCCAAGGGACACTACCCACTTGGCTCCTGTGCTGTCACTTAGGTTAATCTCCAGATCAGGCACACACACCATGCTTATTTAGCTTCTTTTTTTCTTTTTTTTTGACAAGGCTCACTTCAAAGAAGGCAGCACACATTGGTAAAAGGATGTCAGCTTTCCGCCTCACACTAAAATAGGAGATGAATCTAAAGAGAAAAGTGATACGGGAAGGGAAGTCTTCAGAAATGTCCTACTTACAGTACATGAGGTCATTATGACCCAGTTTTGCTTATGCAAGTGTCTGCTTGGGTTGGCAATTTTCCCCCTACTCCCCTTCCCTCCCAGTATATTATCAAGGAGCCCACTCAACTAAATTCCCCTACTATTTATTGTTGGGCCTGGAGAACCTCTTTAGCATACCAGGCTCGTATTATAACGGGGATAACAAAGGCGTGTATCAACAGTTCCTTCCAATGGAGCGGAGTTTAAAAAAAGCTGGCGAGATAACATTAAAGGCACTACCTTGATCTCAGGCGAACATGTTAAGCCCTGTAACGAAACGTATTGGAAGTGTTTAATTACAGCCCGGGAAATGAAGCTACAAGATGATTCCTTAATTAAGCAGTGATTAAGGATTTTCTGCCTTCTATCTGACACAGTTTGCAGTACATTTTCAACACAATCGCCCAGGCAACCTCACAGGGAACAATGTCACAGGGCTTTGATGAAGTTTCCTGCACAAAAATGTCACTGGGAAAAAAAGCAAAGCTTGAGCCGTGCTCCTTTGCTTACTGCGCCGCTTTAATAGAAGCTGCAATACGGAGAAATGTGTCGAGCAATTTTAATCATTCGAAATGACAGAAATTTTGATCCATCTGATATGAGAACCGATTGATTGAGGTGCTCCATTTCATTTGCAAAGGTCCACTCTAAGTAATAGAGGCTTGTTTCACCGTTTGAAATGAAACCGTCTGCGGTCTTATCAAAGGAGACAGATTGTCAATGATCATTCTCGACATTATCGACTCCATCATAATTTACGTCTTGCTTAGGTCACTTTCCCCCTGCGCGTTTGAATGAATCTATGGAGGGCTGAGTAGCAGAAGACTGGAGATAGCGGGAGAGATGGGGAGGGGAGGGGGGGGGCGAGGCAGCCTGCTGGGTTCAGGGTTGGCGGGCATGCGAGAGGAGCCAGTGAGCTGTTAAAATCAGCCCTATCGCTGCTCTATCAAAGGACAGCTCTCTAGCCAAATCGCAGTCACATGCGGCGCGCCACACATTCAGGTCAATAAGCTTATAGGCGATTTACACAAACAATTCCTCCAGCAAGGTAGCAACAAAGTCATATTGGCTTTTTCTCTCCCTTTTAGCATTGTCTCTGCTAAGAAAGCCCTTGAAAATGTCAATCTCTTACGCGCGCCTTTAAGAAGCTCAGAACACTCTAATCCTGACCACTGAGTCTAAAGACCAGTTGCGATTTCTGAAAATGGACTATGTTCGAGTATTCGTATGGGCTTCTGCCGACCTATACATGCTAGCTTCAATTATTTCATCCCACTGCCACTTTTCTAAATCCATCACTGCCTTGCTGGTACTGCAGTGATATTCACAACATTAAGGGTGATGCCTGCTGTCCCCGGACCTGTGGTAATGTTAGTCAGCCGTCGTTGGATATTTGGTTTGTTGATGCAGATTGTGGCGCGACTGATAAAGTCAGTTCTGGGAAGCAACCTTTCTCACCAAAGTCAAGCATAGCTGTGAGACTTCTGTGCTATCTGAAAAATAGGTTTGAATTGCATGCAATTTGTGGCAGGCACAGCCCTCCAACGGGGAGGCTATTAGTGGAATGCCTTGCCACTGTCTCTTTAAATGCCAATAAATTCCCATCATTACAGAATCTGGCAGTTTTCCTCCCTGTCTGCAGCCTGGGTCTTTATCTCGCTCTGCCTCAGTCTCTGAGCATGTAGATCTGGCCCAGTTAGATTGTCATACTTAACAAACATTAATGATTAATTTCCTCCACTGAGTCAAATGGGGCTAAAGGGATGACTCGATTCATCTTATCGCACCACAAATTAGCATTTCTCCATATTCTCCAGCATCAACTGTGCAATAAAACTCCACATTTACCATTCCGGGCACTGGCAGCTGTGTTGGAAGAGCCAAAGAGTTCTTCCTCCTGTGTTGCCGGAGATTTTGATTGCTTACACAAAGACTAATTAATTCTGTCTTCGCTGCTATATGTCTCTAACCGCACATTTCTCACAGTGATGGTATTTCTAGGGTCAAGGTAGGTTGTTTTCATATGCTTTGTCAAATCCTAGGTATGCACCGCTTGCTCTCAGTTCTCACTTCCACTGACATACAACGTTTCTGTCACACTGTAATTTCTGTCATTTGAAAAGAACAAAGGAAAAGAGGGCATATTTTCACATTTAGCTGTACATGACAAATCCAGCAGATAAACATCCATAATAAAAGAATCAAGTCATTTGAGCAGGAAAAAGAAAATCATGTAATGCGACTTCTCAAAGAAGGTTTTTTTTTTTTGCACAGTAGAAATGAGACCGAAGAAATGACATGTAAATTTACTCTCAGAGCTCAGAAAGGAAGCCATTTGTCATCAGACAACACTTGGAACGCTCAAAGGGAACAGCTTGTGGCAACACCCTGTGCTGAACTTCACAGATAGCCAACAATAAAAGAGGGGGTAAAACAGCAAGGTGAAATTTCACAATTTCAGTAAAAAATAGGATGCCACTAAAAGAAGTATCTCTCTCACAATTGTGGAGCTAGGTGGGTCAGTAAATAATAAATCTTTGCCATGGAGCCCTTTGCCTACGTCCGTGGGTTCTCTACAGGAACAACTATGTAAAAGATTCAACAGAGATGTTCCTGTGGCAAGATTCTAGCTTAATGACAAAGGAAAGGCAAGTTTTTTTCTTTAGATTAGTCTTTTTCTCCCCATGCTTTTTTGAAAGGTAGACGGACCTCCTCTAAGATGCCGTGTATGTTAAAACTAATTTATTCTCTAAAGGGTGCAGCTTTTGTCTTCTCCACTTGTGTCAAGGGTCATAAAAAATTTAAGTGCAATTGACAACGAAAGACTGAGCCTGTATGAATTTGGTTTGCCATCATCAAAGGCGATGGTGCAATATTCCTTGTTTTTTCTGTAAGAAGCAGCATGAAATATTACATTTAGTCGTCTAATGGAGGTAGTGTGGGTCAACTTCAGCTGTGCTGAAGTGACAAAACAGAGATAAACAGTGCCACTTGTAATTAAAAAAAATCCTATTATGTTTTCTGTTAAATACTTGCGAATTTATTGTCAGAAAAGCTATTTAAACAGAAGAAATTGCTCAGCTCCTTCTGTAATGTGAGCCCTAGGTAACCAACAATGATTTCTGTTTTCAACCAGCACCAAAGGTTTAGAAGCCACTGACCTCACAAAGGTGTTGGGGCCATTTTATAGAAACAAATCAGAATGCGAACAGCATCTCACAGATAAAAACAGCGAAAAACAGGACGACTGACCATGAAGTAAACAAGTTATAGAGCCAGCCATCACCAAATTTAAAGGTTCCTCAGCCTCAGACAAGATGGGACATCAAGGTGCACTTATCTGGGGAGTTCCTTTTCTGCAAGGGTAAGGCAAATGGCTGAGTCTTTGGTGGCATTCAACTTGGTGACCTTTGCGCCTCTAAGCGGCTTTGCTACTTCAACGCACTCTGATCAAAGTTAATAAGTGCTTCATATGTTAATGAAAATTGGTACTCCTCTTTGTGTTCCTACAGCTTTTTAATACCTATTATAGACTGAAACTTTTAATGGAGGTTTTAGGTCCCCCTGACAAGCCCATTTCAGAGAGTGACTACACAGATACAAGGCTAAGCTAAGACCAGAGAGTCACTGCTCAGTGGAGGAACCTTACACGGGAGACCTTATTCTCCGGGAAGCAGCAGAAGATAAAGGCCATGGGATGAGTGGCTGCTTTAAAACCCACGTTCAAGTCCACACAGGGCTAATTACAGCATGCCATCACATTTGAGAGGGTTTAGTTAATCAAGGGGGGCTCTCTTTTTCCTCCTATAGTTGAGGAATAACACACTTAAACCATTTAATGCTGCCAGGATTGTGTCCCGTTTTAATTCACGGCAGTTTCCCCATAAGTGGGGTAAATTTAAGCCACTATGACATTAGTTTTAAACAGATCTAATTGGGGAAGGGATCATGTAGGAAAAAAAAAATGCTACACCTGCAGATTGCAGAGAATTTGCCACAGGAAAAGAAAGAAATGTGGGATAGAACATCACTTGGGTCTTAGGAGGCAACGAGAGACTTAGCAACTGTAAGCTCAGATAGCAAAGTAATACAAAAAAATCTGAGTGCTCAGGCTCGGGTGTGACAAGGAACAGATTACCAGTGGCCACAAAAAGTAGTATTTGATTGCTACGTCGTGTTGACTTTATTCATAAACATGGGGAAGAGATTTGAGCCCCAGTTCCTCACATGGTTTTATCCAAAACAAAGTGAGTATCAGAATGGCTGTGACAAGGTTCTTTGAAGAATTTCAGAAGTTGTACTTTTCTTTTTGCTCCAACCATTATGCACTGAACCATCTATTTCATAGCTGCTGGGTTATTAGCCGACCTGCATTGTACTTTGAAGTTTGAGTAAGGATACATTACAAAGTAGACAAAGGGTAAAACAACCGAGACGTTGCTGGTAATTGCAATTTCCGAACAATTGTGCCGTTCAACTTTTACAGAAGAACAAAAGGAAAACGTTATTGATACGATTAGCGGGGCATAGCCTACCTGGAACATGAAAGATTAATTTTTATTTTTTATTTTTTTACCCGAATAATGTAATCCCACGAGGCACATCAGTTTAAAAGTGTGAAGAAATAATTCTAAACAAATTTCCCTTTGAAAGGAGAGGGGGGAGAGGCAGGCATTCAAAGCAATGGTTCTTCATTAAAAAGTCAAATTTATGGCATCCGTGTGCCAGTGAGAGCGGGGACACCTGGGGTAGCGCAAGCCACGCGACCGGAGGGTAGGAAGAGGTGGGAGTGGGTGGAGGCGGGGGGGGGGGAGGTGGGACAAGTCTGTCATCTTCACACTGTAACCTGAAGCAGACCACAAATTAGCTCCTGTGATGGCAAGGTGTGACTGAAATGAAACAAACATGCAAAGAGGCGATCTAATTGAATTGGGGTTCAAAGAGAGACTGGAGCGCTTTATGGCGCCGGACCTATGAGCAGGAGCAGGTGCTGCTGGGAGCTCGGCGCTGGGGAGCGCGTACGGCGGCGCACACCTTCCCGGCGCTATCACAGGATGACGCCATCCTCCCTCTTAGATCAAACCCCTGCTCCTGGGTGGATCGCGGGGTTCAAATATCAAACTGGGTGGCTTCAACTTAAGCGGCGATGCAGGAGAAATTCCCGAACAGACACAAGTTCTGCCAGGTTTGATTTTGAACATGATGAAGAATTTCGTTAGATGTAATTGGCAGGGGTTCGTTATTTCCCCCCCCCCATCTTGGCACCAATAAGGCGCAACATATTGTCTGGTAATAGGTAACAGGAACACTATAGCGCAGCGTTTGATGGAAACTTTCCGAGTGCGCTCACCTTTGTTGCAGAAGTACTCCATGTCTTCACAGCTCATGTTCTCGGTCTCAAACTCGGCCGTGAAGTTCTCCTCCGCCGTGAACTCATCTTTAGCCAACAGTTCGTTTTCCTCAGAGATACACTCTTCCTCTTCCTCCTCCAGGCCATCCTCCAGAGGACCTGAGGGGAGGCGCATGCATCCGTACACAGACACACAGGCACACATACACAAAAGGGGAGATGTTCAACAGTTTCATCACATCCTTTAGGCTTTCAAAAATAAGAATCGGTGTCTGTGAAATGCTTTCCTTGCAATACCGCAAACCCACTTGCAGTTCTGAGCACAACACTGTCTACTCTTTCCACGTATTCCGCCATGACGGATAAATTCACATCAACTAACGCGTTATTTTACAATAAAACTAAAAAGTGTTCCTGCATTCTAGCTCCCAAAAAGCACCCCCCTCCACGATTGCACGTTTCTGAGAAAACCAGTTGACACGCAGCCAGTGTGAGCGCTGATGTTAATCCTGCTACCTGCAAAACAAAACCTCTCACAGAAGGGAAACGAGGGGAAAAAACAACAAAAAAAAAAGATCCTTGCCAGACTTTTCATACAGGCATCAGCACGGGAGGAGGAAAGAAAATACTTTTATTAATTTGTTAGCCTTATCACAGGGTACAATGTTGATTTTCCATTTACATTCCATGCCTCCGGGTAATACACCAGTGCAATCTTAAAGGAGACACTTTTCCGTGTGATTAATTTTTCCCCCTCTGTGCAATATTATTTCTTTAAATCTAAATGATTTCAGAGTTTTGCTTGTAGCTGTACATCTCTTTTGGTATTTGCATATTACCATTTTTGCTTCAATCAAGGGTGCTGATGGAATTACTGTACTACCTGAATAGCATTAGTTCTGAAAAACATCGCACCCAGCATTTGAATGTTATTAAGATAATGTGAATCTTGCACACCCTTCTGTCTCCCCAAAACATGTCTGCAATATCTCCTCGTAGAATTGCCAGAGCAAGGAAATTATAAAGCTGTGAGCGTTTAGGGGGTTTTGTTTTTATACAGAAATAAGGCGGAAGCTGGAACGCTGCGCAATTTTCAAGAAAAAAAAACACGAAATTTATGTCTACAGCAAATAATGGTATCAAAAAATGGTGTTGTCAGTGTCAGTTATACAGGGATGCTTTGTGTGTTACAGCTTGTCACACTTGAGCTATGTTGCAGCCTCTTGTGGATCATTCTGAAGCTCAAACAGAGCACACTTGTATCCTCTCCATACCTTTCAGTCTGTTTGTTCTTTTGTAGCAGAAGTGAACCCCTCGGCTTTAATAAAGCAATAATTTCAGCTCAGAAAGTGGGGCTGGTGTGCCTCTCCTGTTTCTCTTTCTTCCCACAAAGAGCCTCATAAAAGAGCCCCCCGATGTCCACAAACTGCTTGCTCTTTTCATTAGTCTTATAAATTACTCCTTTGTAGAAGCCAACATCTGCAGGAGCCCCGGACATGAAAAGAATTAGCACACAGATCTCTAATAGACACCGCGGAGGCCGAGTGCTGCTTTTAAATTAGGATACAGTTTTATGATCTTATCTGATGCCTTCTGCTGATTCGCAGAGGAGTGAAGTGAGGCGTGAAGTGACTCGATGAGTCTACCATCGCTTAAGATGATACCGAGCGATAAATATCGCGGTATCAAGGGGAGGCTGTATGACTGGCGTTAAAAGCCTCTGCCAAGGCAAATGAAGACAGTGTGAAAGAAAAAGCGGGGAAATACATTTCTATACACACCCGTCTGCACACATTCCATTACACAGCTGAATGAGAATCACGTGTACAACTAAACGATTCTTCCTCTGTTGCTCGCAAATACAGCGGCCCGATTGCACCGCGGAAAATAGACCTACAGTGTTGTGCGATAATAAGGGGTAAAGGGAGATTTCAGATAAACTTCATGGTCAATAAGACACAAAGATTAGGTAGATAAGATGAGATAGAATTGAGGTTTAATAGACTCAGAATAAGGGCATCTCACTTCCCCACTCCAACAGATAGTAACTAAATGCAGCATTTTCAAACCCATAGAGATACTGGGGAACTTACTGAATAAGGAAAAATGAAACATTCCGGCCAGTGAGAGACATTAAAGGATGCCTGATGGCAACTTCATGAGGACTACGTCGATTACTTAAGTTTGTTTGCATTCTCACATGTTTAGTTTATTATACAGTATTCATTGCATGAAGAGACCTGAAATTATTTCAGAGACAGCAATGATAAGAATAATGACTTTCTAAACGACTAGCACCACACTCCTAACTCATTTTCTGATAGTGGCGTTCCTGCTATATTTAGTTGTGTACTGTTTAAAATCCTGTCACATTCACTGTGTGACCCACGCCTGTCGGTGGATTTCTATAGGGGTCTGCTGACGAACTGGGCCAGAGGAATGCGTGCAGCTTCTGCCTCTTATCAAGCCTCCTCTGGAGTTCAGATGGTCAACGACACCATGGAGAGAACGTCTGCATTTCACTTCGCTGCGGAACACACACACACACACACACACTAAACACAGCGTTTCCAGGGGAGCCCTTATAATAACCACACACAAATCTGTCTTGATGATTTTACTTTGCCCAGGCTACTTTGAAGACATTCTATTCAAAATGACAACAACATTTCTTTTTACAATGCCACATTAGCTCGATTTTTTTAGCCACAAATCAAAACAATATCATTTATTGAAAGATGAAGGTCAAATGTTTATTGTAATTGAACTCTCAAATGTTCTAGGTTTCTGTTTCTCCATTGATTCAGGTTAAATAGTTTTTACAAAACATGTAACTGAATGTGTCATTTGTTTTCTCAGAGGTTCATATTAGCCTTTTTTAACGAGCCAACACTGACATCGCTCATATAGGTACTGGGCAGGTCTTGCAGGACTTAATTTCATAAGGGAATCAATCCACACACTTTAGGAAAGTCTCGACCAAATAATTAATAAGTCTGGCATTAAAAGTAACCCGGAGAACAATTAGTAACTGCTGTCCTACAACAACTATCCGTAACCCTACGTCTAACAGCTCTGCAGAAGAGTCTATCCAGTGTTTTTATCTGGACAATAAGACTTGCTCTGCTTAAATCATCTCAAAGGAAAAGTTGCATATGCTATGAAGATTGCGATCTTCCGGAACTTCCTCTCAGGTATCCGTGCAACCCTGGCATCCCTGCCATCCACACTCTCCGCCCTCAGCCGTATCATCCGCATTCATCAAACTCTTCCTCTGCCGACTGCAGAGAGAAATCTCAGCCCTGCTCGAACAGTCGTGCAGTCGGAGCGGCCAATGCTAATAGAGACATTGCTAGCTGAATGCAGGCTTGATCACAGTGGCTCTTTTGTTCATGGCGTGGCCTCTGTCTGATAGGGATCGGCCATACGGAGAGGAGCTCCAGAGAGGGATATGGTAATGCCCCCGCTGAGTCTATAAAATGGGGTGAGACCATATGATGGACAGAGGATTAATGAGTCACAGAGGAAGCGGAGCAGGGAAGAAAGGAGTGCAGACGGAGGTGTAGGCATAAGAATATCTACCCGGGAAAAAATACACACGGCACTACAGTCTCTGCCTCATCTGACTAAATCAGAAAATAAAATGTTTCTCTAAAAAAAGAAAACACACACACACACACACGTGTCAACCTTACCTCAAAAGCTCACACAAGAGGAGCTCTAAGGAAATATGGAAATCTGTGTGTATGTGCAAAACTGTATGAGTGACTGCTAATTTCATGGCCTGCTTTTTCAACCGTCCGCAATGTGGGGAGCTTGTGGCCAGGCTGTGATAGCGATACCTCACATTATCAGCAGGCTCCACAGTGTGATGTGTGGATCACAAACCCGGCCTCCTCTATAGCTCCCTAATTAGAGGTGAGGTAATTGAATCTGACAGAACAAAGCGGCAGATCTCTATAAGCATGGAAATCATTTTCGCACCCACCTATACAGTTTTCCTTCCAAAAGGTCCATTGAAAATGTGTCCACGGTGGCCTGGGGATGGAAAACGTGGCACCCGAGACTAAAACCCAAACTGTAAAAAACGCAGCCCTCAAATCCAACATGGCCACACGGCTCAACCTCTGCCATCTCCTTTTGGCTCTTTGAGCCGACATTGATCGGTAGTGAAACAAAAAAACTTCTGGAAAAGGAAAAATGGGAGCTTTTTTCTTCAGTTGCAAGACGCTCTGTACTCGGAGGCAGGTGCCTTTAAAAAAAAACAAATTCACATGTTGGAGCTGGAGGAAAAATAAAAAGACAGTGAATCCCCGCAAAAAAACGGAGACATTTTCATCTGTTCTCGCAGAAAGGTTGGAAAGGTTGAGCGAGAAGGGAAAGAAGGAGGATAAAGTGGTGAGAGGCAAGTTCTGACTGGGGGCCATACTCTCTCCTCAGCACTAATGACCTTTGGGAAGCAGAGGGCTCCCTTAGCCTTGGAGGAGACTTTGTGTATATGTTACAGGGCTCAAGCTTCTAATTTAATCCTTGATCACTGTAATGAAATAGATACCATTTATGCAACCCTTAATAGCGTAATATGCTACAGGAACCCTCAAAGGAACGTTTCATTTCAAATGTCTCTTTTCGCACCGCGCAAACGCTAATAAAAACCCAGCCTTTTTCCAAAGTTGTACACTCTGTGATCCAAATAAATGTGGAGCTAATGCCGTAACGCAAGTCAAAAGTAAATTACCATTTGTGTGTGTCGTCTGTGAACTGCTGCTTGTGTGTAAGGGTGTGTTTGTGTGTGTGTGCTGGGAGGAGCGTGGAGCAGCTTGACTGGAGACTGATGTGTTCTCAGCGCTGCAGTCTGTGACCAAGAATAAGCAATGGTATTGTTTAACTTGATTTTCCGGTTGCTAAGCAATGTAATTCTCTTGATTAGAAATGGCTGCCTTCCTAAATTCGGGCACTTACAATCAACCGTCAACAAACTGCTTGAAAACTCAGCACCGATGCTCATCTGGAAATTGGGGTAAAAAGGTTCGAGGGTGGGGGGGGGTGGGGTGAATAAATGTGTTCTCATCCTTGTTAAGACAACACACACACACACACACACAACCACACACACACACACACACACACACACCTCTTTGAGGCTACATTTCAAAAGAAGATTCCTTTTCAAATATTTGAAAGTATTGTGATGAAATCGGGGAACTGGATGGCCACTCCGTTTGCATTCATTGATAACTCAGCTTCCCTATTGGCTAAAAAGTGATGGAAGGCTGTGTGGGCATTCATCCTGGCAGGTTTTTCAAAACTCCCCATGCAGGAAATGATCATTTCTATTTGAGAGGAGTTTATTTTTG